TTAAACCTTAATTCTAATTTCAGCATCGACCTCCAGTCCATTGGTAGACCCATTTCCTTCAGCTCCTGTATATTTTTTAATTGTTGATCTTTTGTTAGAAGCTCTTTATACGTATATCTCATTTCTTTTGAGATCATTTAAGTTTGTGTAAAAGCTTCCAGAGGCGCTACTCATATCAGGATTTTTTTGTATATTTGCCCCTGGAATTTTTGCCAAACCTGGTATAAAGCTCTCCTTACAATGTGATCAGAAAAGTGAATTTGATCTTTGGCCTTGATGTACCATATATATGCATGCCAACCTAATCTTAATTCATGCCCTTCCAATTTTAAGAGTCTTAGATCCTCCAAAGTAATCCATTCCTTTATCCAGTTCAGTGCACAGGCCTTGTAGTATAATAACAATTATTCTCAAATGCACATTTCATTCCCCCAAACTCAGGTATTTTAATAATCTCAGAAGAAGATTTAGATAAATATATATATATGTATTTATGGATGTATGTCATGTATGTACATACATATTTTTGCATGAAAGAATAAGGTGGTAAATCCACTCTGCCACTTTTATATCCAATAGAAGAAGGTCAGACTGGTCCATTTTGTCACCTAAGGCAGAACTGCAAGTGGGCTCCTATTAACCCGCTCATGTCAAAGTGGATAGTACTCAAAACCAGCCAAGTTATTTGAGCACATGAGACAGAAAAACCTACAACATGGGCACAAACCACTGGTTTATTTTGAAGCTGAACAAGTGTCAAAGCCCTGCCTCCTCTAGCAGGTGCCCACTTGGAGGCAGCAGCCTGTCTCCCCTGACCCGCCTCCTACGGGCACTGCCTTTGAGTGGGCACTTGCCAGAGGAGGCAGGGCTGGGAACTGCAGAACACCTGTTTGGCCAAGAAATGAACTGGCACCAACTGCTGAACCAGCGGTTCATGTGTGTGTGAAATTTACAAAATATCTTTCTCCACTAAGGATCTCTTTAACAGTTTAGACATTTTGCTGCCCTCAAGTGTTCTGGACTACAAGCTTCATAATTCCTGACTAATGATCATGGTATCTGGGATTATGAGATTCGTAGCTCAAAGCGTACACAGGCCACCGGGTTACCTATTACTTGCTGGATCAAGATCTTCGTAAGAATTAATCCCAGAAACCAATCTGCAAAGTCATTCAAGATTTGGCCAGAGGTTCATTATCCACATTTTCCTTTTCTGTTATTGAAAGCTGTCAACTGAACGATTGAATATTCATTGTCATCAGCTAAATATACTAATGTACATTATTCAGTGAAGGATTATACTGTGTATATGTTTTATGTACAGTATGCTTTTCCTGTTAGCTGCTCAGAACATACCACATGTACAATCTCAAAACCATATTCAACAACCCTGTGAGGTAGGCCATTGTGAAGATCCCCATGTTAAACCAACAAGGCTGGAAGAGGGTGGCTTGTTTAATTTATCCAGCATGCTCAGAGCTGACATAGGTTTCAAACCAAGACTAGAACTTCTCATATTTTTCAATGCTGTGTGATGCTGGTAGAATTCTGTTTTGGTTCGTATAACATTTCCAAGTTACCAGGCTAAACTGAAGAGAAGAAACCTTGGCAAAATGAGATATCTCAGTTGGAATAAATAAGATTTATATGCCTCATAAGTCAAGTTCTAGATCTTTGAAACAATTCAAATTGTCAGATGTACTTTCCAAAGGAAAGAGAGAGAAACGTAAGTACATTATGTAATATTTTGCTTTTCGGGCCAGTATTTTAATATAGAAAATTGAGTGGCAGATGAGTAGAAACAAACAACTATGGGAAATGAAACCTCCTCCAAAGCAAAAGCATTTGTTTCCTGCTCGGCTTGCATGTTACACTGGTAAATCTAGAATAGAAGTCTATGTGTGTCAGTTGAGGATGAACTGGCAAATATTTGTTCTTTCAGTCCTCTCATCTATAGATTAAACATATGGCCTTAGGTAGTTTTCTTTCCTCTTGCTGAATTCTTTTAGAGTGGAAAAATTCTACGAAATGTTGTTTTCAGAGAAGTTGAAGCGTGTGTGAATTTAAGTTTTCCAAGGGCATTTGGGCACCAAGGCAGCAGAAGTTATGAACCTCTGGGATAATGTCACATTAAAGGGAAAGGATTTTTATGGCCCTCCTGACATGTTCAATCACTCAAACAACAGCAACAACAACAACAATAGCGCAATAACAGCAAATACCACTAAGGAGCATAACTGGTCAGCTGTAGCCTGATTAAATTAAATTAGAAATATTCTAGTCAAAATGAGTAAATGTCATGGCATTTCTTTCTTATGCCACATTGGCATCTCAGCTGCAAATTACTCAAAAGGAAGAAAATATGTTTTAAGAAGTATGTCTGTACATTCTGTGTACTTTTGCAGATCTGACGTGTAAGAGGGTGTGGCATCTTAGTACCTGCATGTGATAATCTTCCTGGGTCAGTGGACAAGGTATTTGTGTTGTTTTTGCATTCACAGGGCACGGTGATGCAGCCAAAATTAAGCACTTTTATGTCTACTTGATTTGAATGGATAGAGATTGAAAGCCAAGTTTCATTAAGAGCAGTGAGGCTTAAAACAGCTTAGGTAAAGGTAAAGGTTCTCCTTAACATTTTTAGTCCAGTCATGTCCGACTCTAGGGGGCGGTGCTCATCCCCGTTTCCAAGCCGTGGAGCCAGTGCTTGTCCGAAGACAGTTTTCGTTGTCACATGGCCAGCATGACTAGGGAATGCCGTTTTACCTTCCCACCGTGATGGTACCTATTTATCTAGTCACATTTACATGCTTTTGAACTGCTAGGTTGGCGAGGAGCTGGGACAAAGCGACGGGAGCTCACTCCATCACGTGGATTCAGTCTTATGACTGCTGGTCTTCTGACCCTGCAGCACACAAAGGCTTCTGCGGTTTAGCCCGCAGCGCCACCACATCCCTACTGCTTAGTTTTGGTTAAAATTTCCTGATATGCATGGGCTACATTTAAAGCAACAATTCACTCTTTATATATATATATAAATATAAAGAGTGAATTGTTGCTGTATATGTAGCCCATGCATATCAGGATATATATATGCCCATGAGATTTACACACACACACACACACACAC